GCCATAAGTTAACAGGTAACATGAAGACACACACAATGAAGGTGTCACCCCAATATGGAGTTTGGAATTGTAACTGAGGTACAAGAATATGGCTGAGCCTTGTCATCTCCCTGTAGTTAGAGCATGTTGAGGATATGATTTTAAGCATCTTCATCCATAAATAAGTCTGCTCTAGAATGCTAGACTATAATGAATCTGTTCTAGTCTAAGGCTAGCCCAACCATTAGGTACAGCAAGAGTGGGAAACATATGGTCCTTGGATCTCCACTAGATATGCAGGTTTAGACATCTGGGGATTGAAGTGCAACTATATCTGGTGAGCCAAACAATTCCCACCTCTGGCATAAAAGAAGGCAAAAGCCTCTACAGATGCTAGATTTCAGCACTGGCAACTCTTTAGCAATAGCTCACATTATTGGAAGGAATTTAAAATTTATTTATTTGTTTAATATGCTGCCTTTCAATCAGCCAGATCCAAGGTGGCTGCTAGAAAAAGTAAATTAAAAATGTTTTCAATAAAATTTAAAAACAATTAAAACCCTTCATAAAACACATTAAAACCATTTTTCAAACAACCAGAAGTTTAAAAGATAAAACAACCCCAATATAAAGCCCTCCTACTTATACATTAATAGCCTGCTTAGACAGAAATGTATTTGCCAACTGGCAAAAAGAAAGCAGGGAGGCAACCCGCCCAGCCTTGCATAGATGGGACTTCCAGAGGAAACTCTTTTCCACTAAGAGGATATTTCCAAGAGACAGGGATCCAACTTCTGTTTCAAGACCTCCAAAGAAGGAGAATCCAACATCTTTCAAGGCAGTACTTTCCATTGTTGGACAGCTCTTACAGTCAAGAAGTGGATCCAGATGTTTAGGTGAATCTCTTTTCTTGCAACTTGAATCCATTGGTTCATGTTCTGGTCTTGGGAGCAGAAGAAAAAGTTTGCTCCATTTTCTTCATGACATCTCTTCAGATATTTAAAGAAGCCTGTCATATGTTCTCTCAAATCTTCTCTTCTCCAAGGTAAACATATCCATTTCCTTACGCCATTGCTCCAGCTTGTCAATACACTTCTTAAATTGTGATGCCCAGAAATGGACTCAATACTCCAGGTGAGGCCTGATCAAAGCAGCATAGAGTGGTACCATTATTTCCCTTGATCTGAGCATTATATTGCTGTTGATATAGCCTAGAATTGTGTTGGCTTTGATTACTGCTGCATCAGACTGCTGATCCATAATTAGGTTGTAATCTAAATTCCTTAGATCCTTTTTACATGTCCCATTGTGAAGCCAGCTCTCACCCTGCCTATATTTGTGCATATATTTTTTCTTGTCTAAGGCTGCATCTGCATTGCAGAAATAATACAGTCTGACATCACTTTAAATACCATGACTCAATACTATGGAGTCATGAGATTTGTAGTGTGTGGTGGCAGCAGAGCTATGTAATGGAGAGGACTAAATATCTTTCTAAACTACAACTCCTTGAATCTCATAGCATTAAGCCATGGCAGTTGAAGCAGTGCCAAACTGCATTATTTCTGCATTATTTCTCTAGTACAGATTAGACCAAAACGTAATATATTTATTCCTCTTGAAAATATTTTTTTTCATTTTGTTCCAGCTCTTCAATTTGAATTTTCCAATTTGAATTGTGATCCTGTCCTGTGATTTATCACTTATTCCTCCTAATTTTGTTATCACTTGCAGATTTGGTAAGTGTTCCCTCTGTTTCATCATCCATGTCATTTTTAAAAAAGATGTTGAACAATACCAGCCCAAGACAGGCCCCTGTGCCACCCCACTGCACCTGAGTCTTGAAGACATCCTCCTTTGTTTAGAGGACATCATTGTATGTGCCATGTGGCCTGCCATGTACTTTTTAAACTGCAGATGTGCAGCAACAGAGAGGACTTCAGCCATCCCATTTTCAAGCAGTCCAGATCTCTGCCTTGATTTGCCCATTTTTTTTCAAAATTGGAAATGGACTGGCAGTAATTTCTGGTTTTGAAAAAAAAAAGAGGGTTTTGGAGTCCTGTCCCACCTTATAGTCCTAAAATCATGGAGGCACACATGGTCCTTGCAGACTGTACAGTTCCCAGCCCTACTCTAAACTATCCTGCTGTCCTCAGGTACAGTGGAGGACATTATCCCCACACCAGTGCTGTAATAAAATTCAACTGCCAGTCAGATTTACTTACTGAAGGATGTCTTGATCTTACTTTACTCCATTCATACAGTCCTTCAAGAGAAGGAGCAGGACAGAGAGATTGCATGATGGATCACATAAAACCAGTGGTGTCACTAGGGTTGGTGTCACCCAGTGTCGTAACTCATGGTGTCATCAAGCCATTGATCTCCTCCCATACCGCACCATACAGAATCCTCAATAATAAGGTTTTCTTTACCAGTGTTACTCATCAATTGTAATTCCTGTATATCCCTGAATGTAATGGAAATATCTGTTGGGAAACCAAGACCTAATTTGGGGGAATTTATAATTAGCTCAAACGTGAGAGGGAAGCGCCCAACTTCGCTTCTGAGATCTTATCCAATTGTCTACCAGAGATGTAAGAGTTCTAGCAGGGAATGACACTGAAACAGACCAAATTCCAATTGAAGTCTAAAATATTTATTAATACAGCAAGCAAATGTCCAGTGTAGCACACACACACTAGAAGACAAGCGGGAAAGAGAGAGAGCAGGGGAGGCAAAGAGAGAAACCAGGATAGAGGGAGATATACTCACACTCGAGAGACTCCTCTGGGCTTCTGGCGAATGCAAATGGATTCCGTGGAAGGGACATGACTGGCAAGAGAGGGGGTTGCAGGAACTATTTCAGAGCACAGACTGACAGAGATTCAGCATGCACTTCCAAGGTAGCACAAGGTCTGCAAAAATCCAGGGGTTCTTATAGGGAAATTCTGCCTCCTGGCCATGAGTCGAACAATAGCTGGACAAAGGCTTGATGGGTTTACTATTGTTTATTTAAGTCTGGGCATAGTCTAAACAATGCATTTGGTTTCAAAGCTATCAAGGAAAGGAAGCTAGAGAAAGGGGTGCAATTAAATCTGATCACTGTCTCATTAAGTGTGAGACTGTGGGGGGTTGCAGACTGCCAGAAAAAGTGCAAATTCAGTCCACTTTTAGGGTTAGGGTTAGGGTTAGGGAATCATGGGAACTGTAGTTTATTGTGGCACTAGAGCTCTCTGACAGAGAAGGCTCAATGTCTCAGAAAAAAAACAATCCCCATGATTCCCTAGCTCTAACCCTAACCCTAAAAGTGGACTGAATTTGCACTATTTCTGACAGTCTGCAACCCCCCTAAGACAAACAAACACCATTAGGCATCTTTTCCAACATAATGGGATATTCCCAAGGGCAACTCCCAAAACCTGCCTGTCCAGGAAATTTCTAGTGGTCATAAGCAATTTCAGCTTGCTTACCTGACCTTACATCTAGGGGATTATGGCTGCCCTCTCCCATGGGTCAGGCTAGAGTCATAGGGAACTCCACATGGCTAAAATATATAACAAAAATGGAGGACTTTCCCTAACATAGTTGTGACAAAAACAACCTTTACATTACAATATCATATGCACAGTCTAAATGTATTTACATGTGATGTTTTAAAGAAAAAGAATTTCCATCACTTCACCATTTTAAAATGACACAGGTGGATGTCACAGCCCATTTCTGCCAAAAAGCAGATGATTAGGGAGCAGTGGTATCACCTGCCCCTTAGGGTGTCACCTGGTGTGCTCTGCACTTCCCACACCCCTACAATGACACCACTGGATCAAACATATGTAAATGGGTTGATCAAAATGTTTTCTTTGTGTTATCCTAAGATTTATTCTTTTCCCCTACAGATATAATTTACATGCCAGTGAATCAGCTCTCAGAACAAACTGGGAATAAATATGGATAGAAGTTGCTCATTTCAATCCTGTTGGTCACATTTTCAGTGACCTCTACATAAGCCTCTTCTTTATGTCCTTGTTCTCCACACGTTCATGGTCATATTTTAGTGTTTTCCCTGTTAGTTGTACACATTGAGTCTTTTAAAAACTGATTCATCTGATTTATCTATTAAATGTGACCTAAATGTTGCAGCATTAATTGGAAGAGACAATGTTTAAGGTTACTTAAAATCTGGTTATTCTTCTTTTCATGCACATAAGGCATACATACACACCTCATCAAGCCAAAGTCTAACTATGAGGCTAAACAGACCGTCATGAAGAGCTGGTGTCCTGGCAGTGTGGGGGCATGGTGTTCAGACAGCAGCATGCCCCCATCATTTCTGCAGCACAGCATTTGCACATGCTGCACCGAAGAAATGCAGAAAAACCGCTGCAGTGGCAGCAATGACAGCTTTTTTCAATTCCCAAAAAGAGCAATATTTTGCCAATTCTTTTGGGGGCGGTAAAATAGTAGATCAGGGCCGGGGCATGCGGTTGCCGTGGCTCTGATCCGGTGAGCAAAGGGTCATCGCAGAGCTGCTCTTTGGGGCGGTCTGTTTCACCCTTAGGAAGACTACTTTAGTGATGTATTAGTACTGGATATAGCTGCAGGAAATAAAGATTGCACATTTCAGTAGAAGACTGTAGCCAGGTTTTTGCAATGTGCCATAACAAGCACATAACAAATGACTTCTTTGAAAACATGGGTGAAGTTATAGATATGTTAATTTAATTGCCTTTGCATATCTTAAATGTTGTGTGTTCTTGCCACAGTTCATTTTGAAGCATAAAGAACTGCAGATGGATTTAATCAGGAATTATTGAATTAGCTGGGAAAATGCGGGTGGATGGTCTTCAGACTAAGTAGTTGTTGTTGTTATTGCTGCTGCTATATGCCTTCAAGTCATTTTGGACTTATTCTGACACTTTCACTAAGGGGTTTTGTTGGCAAGATTTTTCAGAGGAGATTTGCTACTGCCTTCTTCTGAGTCATACAGTGTGACTTGCCCAAGGTCACCCAATGCATTTCCATGACTAAGTGGAGATTTGAACCCTACCCATCAGAGTCATAGTTCAATGCATAAACCACTATGCCACACTGGCTCTCTCATAGTAAAAAGTAAAGAATAAAAAAGGCTGAGGAGATACCGTATTTTTCGGCATTAAGACGCTCCGGCATATAAGA